TTTGCCCTCTTCGAGGTTGTTGAAATTTAAAAGAGATGCGTTAGCTGCCCCTGGCAGTGGGGGCAATGAGGGAGATGCTGGCAGACTTGCTTATAGCGTAGTGATGCTAGCAGTCATTATAATAATACATTTCAATCGAGGAAGTTAGTTTGACTTCTTTAAGCCATAGCTGTAGTTAAACAGCTTTCTAAAGCGCGTGGTAGCACCACATGTGTTTAGACGATTGAATTTTTGTCATAACCTGGGTACCATACCAGTGGTTGTCCTGATGCTCTGTTTTACTTTGAAGGCATAGAATTGGCTTTTCTCATTCCTTGCCTTAAATACTTTAAATGTACTGACAAGCACAACTGACCAATTAATAGTACTTTTTCTCGTCTTACCTCATTTGTTATCCACGGTGCTCTTCAATTTTTCATGACCCAAAATAGTAGATGTACATAATGAATACAAATAGCAAATTGATTAAATGTAACATGCATTGTAGCACCAGTGAGATTGTCATTTGTTATTAATGAGAGAGATTTGTCAGGTTCCTGTGAAAAGGCTCATGACGCACAGTGATCCAGACCTAATAGCTGCAAGACTACAGCCAACCATCAGCTCTTTCATTGTCATGCAACAAAAATAGGGAGGACACATGATTTTCAAGATAATTTCATATTTTGGTACCATCTCAACATTTTCAGGATTATTTTCAAAACATGCAAGTCAGGTTTACTGAGGATGTTGCAATAAATGGTGCGTCATTGTAAGGCACTGAATTTCAAGGCCAAAGCCATCCTGTAGGAACCAAACCACTGAATTTTACAAGGATGAAACTGAGTGGGGCCTTTTGGCTAAGGCAGTGTGGTCAACAGCTCAGTAGTCAGGCAGCTCATGCAAGAAAATAGCGCTCAGGTTTCACTGCCTGATTTAACCAGGCACACAAATATGTACCTCTTTTCACATCCTTGCTGAGTCACCGAGTCATGAGGCAGTGGACAACTCCAGAGCCTTGTTCAATTGCTCCTGATCAAGCTGGTTTATTTTACATAAGTTAAGTATCCATTGAAAGTCGCTCTTCTACGTATCAGGGAAGTATTTGTTAGTGTGCTGTAGGCAGGGAGAGTTTGTGGTTTTGCGTGATCTCTTCCATGCCAACATTTTACAAGAAGTTTATCTGAAATCCAAAAGCTTTTTGTGGAATGTGGAAAAAATGTCTTCATTGTTTTGCACAGAACGTACTGCTGTATTTGCTAATGAACAGCAAGAGAGGGCTGAACAATGAACATGGCAATGTGGGGTATTACTTCCCACCTTGAGCAATGAACCTAAAACTCCAAACAGCTGAATCCTTGTCCCCAAATGCAGCTCACTGTTTCAGTGTGAATCAACAAAGATTTTTTTTTTTTTTTTTTTTGTTTTTTTCCTAGAATCAGAGACTTGACAATAGTTTAGTTCTTTGTTAATGCAAATTGCTTAAGCTACACTGACCAAGAATACTTTGCATCTGCTCAGGTCTGCCTGCTGGTCGGTTTGTTCTAGCCATGGACTGTACTCAATTAAAAATAACAAAAAACGGGTTTCCATTTAAATTACATTATAGTGCGAACCTGTATTATTTACATAAATTTAACAGATTACTGGAGATCAAACCTTGCTATTCAATTCCTTGGAATTCTGCTTTCATAAGGGAATATAGGAATTTTATGGGCGTTATTTAAAACAAAATTTTGATTGCAATGCCTCTGAAGAACTAAATAAAATGTTATGCAGTTGTTTTACACCTCAAGGTGAGGAGAATCTTTGAAATTTATTTTGAAATTAGAGGCTCTATTCCGCATAATTTATACACTGAGTATTCATAAAAGGCACTACTGTTGAAACTCACCTGTCATCAAAAGGAAAAGCACAGAAACAATGGCTAAGACCAAGGCAGGGAAATGGTGTTATGGATGTTATTTCCTAAACATTTTCTAAGGAACGGTTTCTACCAGTTACTGAGGAAATTAAGGAAAAGTGACAAAGCAACAATCATTTCCAAGTAATGGTTCTTTTTTCTTTTCATTATCTGTGCTGTCTGCCCTCAGATCTCCTGCATTGTTCACATTTCAAAACATTTCCTGTTGTAATAGACAAGCAAAAGCCGTTCTGCAGGGGCAAGGAGGAGAGCTCTGCTCCTGCAGCTCAGTCGTGTATGGGGCAGCTCTGGGGTGTGCTGCCAGAAACCTGGACTGACCAGCCAGCTTGGGCATCTTCAGAAATTAAGGGATAATTTTTCTAGGCTCAGAACTCGGTTTAGGTAAACCTGTAAAAACTAGGCTATAATTTCATTACAATGAGCTGAAATTTGGCTTATTTTCTTTTTCTGCTTCTTAACTTCCTGGGAAGGAGAAGTTTACCTGCTACTTGTCTTTGGAACCACTTTGGGCTCATCAGGTTTTTCCTCTCTGCCCTGTTACTGGCAAAGGTTGTCTCAGGAGCACCTGTTTCATCTTCAGCAGCAGTGTTATTATTAAACATGGGTCCTGAGCAGGATTTACACCCTTCCTCTGGAAACATAGGAAGCTTGTGTCAATTCCTACTCTTTCACAGACACGTGTCAGCTTGTCAGGGACTATCAGTCATTAAAAATTGAACAGAGCAAACCTGACAGGATTGGTCTCTTGGTGCTACAACAGTATAAATATTTAACAATGACATGATGATACATTTCTGTTAACATAGCTGGCATTCTGCACTTAAGCACAGCAGGGTAATAGTCCTTTTTATGACTACATAGGTAGTAAAATATGTATGTAATAGATGGATGGACCAAAGCTACAGTGAACAGTGCAGAAGAGGCAATGTCTTGTGACCAAAGTGATGGAAATCCCTAGTGATTTTCACATAAAACATTGCTGTTTGCTATCTCTGAAAGGTTGGTTTCCTCTGAGGTAGAAGTTCCACTCATGTTTGCCCAAGCCCATTGTACATGCCCTCTTCTGCTCACTCCTGCTGTACAAGGCTAAACAGACATTAGATAGAAGCTCTTTCTTTGCTATCAGGTTAATTAGCTGCTCTGCCATTTTGTTTAATAATTCAACTGCAGTGTCCAGGAGGTCAGTGTGACACTGCTTGTTGCCACAAGTCATCAGTGTTGATTGTTGCTGCTTTTTGCCTGTTGAAAACTTGTCTTCCAGTACCTGGGTGCCACTGTGGACTGGCAAGTCACCACCCAGCACAGGATTTCATTTCTCCAGTGAGCACATCTCTTTTAAATCCAAACAGCAATTCCATTGAGTTTTAAACTGCTAATTTATGATAACAAAGTAATTGCAAAGGACAAGGTCATGAAAGATTTTAAGCTAATGATGGACGGGTAGAATCAGAAAGCATGGGGACTGCCCTCCTCCCCACCATATCCCCTAAATTACCTTTTTGTGGAATACAAACATCTCCATAGGCTCTGGAGAGAAAGGGAGAGAGGTGTCTGAATGGCAGTACTCAGCCTTCCTCTTACTCTTACCTGCTGTGGCAGGTGACAGCAGAAAAGCTCAGCAGCATGGTCCTCTCCTTCAGGGTGTTCAGGCACTGCAGGCAGCCCTTCTCAGACATTCAGTTAGCTCCTGCCCTTCTAAAAGCCCTCAAAATATCTTCTGGGGAAAGTCCATCAGCTAAATTCCACGTTTGAAAACAGAGGAAGAGCACAGGTCATAGAGGTGTTGTTTTGGAAGCTGATGTAACTATTGAGCCGTAACAAAGCCTATCTGTATCCAAAGGGTGTGCCACGGATTTGATGGAACCAAGGGAGCAAGAGCTGAAGTTCAGACTACCATGCCGTGTCCCTGGACCTCGCAGAGATTTCAGGTACTTGATCTAGATGTGCTAGGAGCAGATCGTTGTAGCTACACTTTTTTACTAAATTCTTCTTTCATGATTCTGGCCACATTTTGAGATTTTATTCTGTTACCCAAGTCCATGAGTTGTTCCACTGACTGCTCTGGAGACTTTGTGGAGCAGGATATATCGACTGCTAATATCAAAGAATCGTAAACTCTCTTGGTCCTCTCTCTTTTTACATTTATTAGCATTTTCTCATGTATAAAGTTGTGTGATTAGAGACAGTTTGACCTGGGTGAGGAACAATATATTTTTACCTTCAAAAATGCACCTATTTGGTTTACCTATGAAATTCAATTTTCTTGTCTAAGTATTCTTGAATATAATTTTTTGAAACTGGACTTAATTCAAAACGTAATTGGAAAATTGTTTAAAGATTTTTTTTTCTCTCAACTCTGTCTTTGAACTGATATAAATAACAAAACTAACCTGGCAATTTTTAACAGTATGATCAAAAGTACTGCTTTTTCACTGCTCATATTTTGACTTTTTTGTTCAGGTCTTGGTTTTGTTCACTAACTCATGCCAGTTCAGGGTAGATTGGAGCAGAATTACTTATGTATCCAATTAAATAGGTTATTTTTCTACAAACATGCCTCAAAAATCTGTGCCACTCAATCAAGTGTAGGTAAACTGGGCAGTGTACAGCAGGGACAGGCCTGTTCTCAGCTGTGCACAGTGACACTGAAGTCAGTCAATCTGAAAAAGCAGATGGTTTAGCGTATAGATAGGATGATATACCTGATGCAAGACCTGCTGTATACTACCTCTGAGCTTCTTTCAGATCTAGGGTGCACAGGCTTAAGCTAGCGATGCAACTAATATATGTGCAAACATAAAAGTAGTCTTTCCCTCCTTTTCTTCTCAGCTTAGAGGAATATTCTAATTAGTTATTGCTGGCAGGAGAAGAAGGGGAAGAAATTTGGAGCAAGGGAAATGTGTGACTGTTGACTTTGCAGTAGCCCTGTCAAAAAAAATGTATTCTACTTTTAATACATACCATTTGGAAAGCAAAGCCCCTTTTAAAATGCTTCAGAACTCATGTCCTTTTTAATTGCCTGGAATTCATGGTGGCTGTGTGAGAAAGCCATAAACATATACAATCATAAAAACACATTTAGACAACCCAAACAGAATCAGTGCCATATTATTTTAGTTTATTATTCCTAGTGGAGTACAGATTGGTCTTCCTACTTTGATATTTATTTATACCAAAGAACTACAAGGACATAAATGCCACTCTTGGGATAATCCTAATGCTGGGGCTGAACAGAATACACATTGCATCTGTCTCATTTGCAGTAAAATGAAGGCGTGTTTAGGTGTAGTCCTGCTAATGAAGGACAAAGTTGAAGGTCAAATGTAGTCTTCAAAATGAATGTGTCACTGTGAAGCTGAGAGAACTGTACTTTTTGCATTAAGAAGTTTTCTTACAAAATCCAATAATGAAGAAAGGGAAAAGGAAAATGTAGCTCTTTGGTTTTATTATTCCTTTTTCTTTGAAGCCACTTAAGGATTCTGCTCAAGACTTTAGTGCTCATATGAAAAATTAATGATGGGTTTTTGCTAGACAGAAAGCCTTCTTATTTTGCACATGATTAACAAAGAAAACTCAATGCAGAAGTGAGATACGCAGCAGGGGGTGGTTCTCTCTGAGGCCAGCTCACAGCTTCACACCAGAACATTTATTGACATGGGAAAATACCCACTTTTATCCAAAGACAGTTAAACAGATAGGCTATGTGCAGGGCTGTACATGCTGAATAACAAGGAACAGATTCTTGACAAAGGAAAATGTCAACCAAAATAAACAAACAGCCTCGCAGCAGTCTGACCCTGCACCGTGCCTGTGGGCTGCTTTGAGTCTACTGCAGAGCCAGGCACAATGTTAGTCTTTTGCTAGTTATTGTCAGCAAGTAGATTATCAGCTGAAAGGCTGGAGGGTGACTTCAGACAGTCTGCCTGTAGCAGAAGAAAACCAAGGACATGTAGGCAGAATATGTAAGCCAGATCTACACTCTGCTCACATGCTATTTTGATTTGATGTTCCTCGGCTACAAAGGTCTCGTGGGGGGCTGGGGTACTTTTCCCACAGGTCTTTTCCCACAAGTAAGATCACAGATTAAGGTCACGGGAGTTTGTCCAACTGCAAGCAGCCTGGTTTAATTCTGTTGGTCCTGCATATACTCCTTAATTTTTAAACCTTCTTATTTTGGTCTGGTCAGCCAACTTGGTGCATCTTCTGGGGATTCAGAACGGCCATCTGCTCCTGGCACCCTGAAGAGGAAAGCCAGCCAAACAAGGTATAATTTTTACAAGTTGTGATCGAAGTGCAATGAGTTTTATTTATTTTAAGCATAAGACAAGACAAACCTCTGTTACTGGTGTATATTTATGATTTGCCCCCAAGAACAGGAAGCCCTTATAAATCTCTGTTAAATACAACAGTGCACTACAAAGAGCTGAGTTTGGTTACGAATCTCAGGTCAGATTCAGGGTTTCAGGTGTAAAATGGGAATGAAACAAATCTCCCTGGGTGAACTGAACCAGAAAGCTTTTTTTCCCTTTCTTATGCATGTAAACAGAAAATGATCCCCCAAATACTGCCATTATGAACTAGAAGCTATGTTTATCTGTAGGCTCTAAAAGGAGTTATGCTAGCTTTGAAAGTACTATGCCTAAGGATATATGAAAGGTGCAGAATTAGTGTCAAACAAACAAAAAGCAGTGTTCTATGTAGAAACCTGATTTCCTTAAAGCTTTATTCCAGATAGAGAGTAATGCTGAAGTTTTCCCATGCTATCTGGAGTGCCGCTTGCTTTTGAGGAAAGAAATGTGGTGAAAGTTAAAGCTGGTAAGAATTGGTCTTTAGCAGGAGGAGGCAACATAGGGCTTATTTTGACTAATAAGTTATTATCTCTAAATGATAGGGAATCAGTTATGCTAGATATAAAAAGACATTAAGCTTCAAATAGAGCACCTGATAACAGTACTTATAAGCTTTTCTAAAAGGCTTCATACTTTGTCTGATTTGGTTATAGTTTGTTTGCTTGAGCGCTCCTTTTGAAGTTACCTACAGTGGTGGCACTGAAACGCAGTGACCAGCATACAGTCAGGGACGAGGGTTGGCTGCTGACAGAACTGGCTAACAGCCATTTTCACAGCAATTATTTTTTTTCTTGTGGACTTTCAGATCAGATCCCTGCAGGAACAGATTGAGTGGAATTTTTATCTTGCTATTATGAATGTTTTGATACTGCAGTAATGATTTTTTGATATTTGATAGTAAAACCTTGAGATGATAGTAGTGGAAGCCTCAGAGTAGCTTTCATAATGTATTGATTTTGTGTTTTGTAGTGGTGATGTTTTTTCTTTGTCACCATCAGTTGTTCATTTATGTTTTCATATATATAATTTTTGTGTGTATTTCTCTCACTGCTTTTGCTTACCAGCAAGTACTGCTACTTACAAAGTATATAGAAATAAATGCACTTACATTATCCTGTCAAGTGCTAGCAAACAAACACAAAGCAGCACAGCCCAAGTTTTGTCCTGCAGGACACCTGAATTCAGTGGGAGCTGTGTTTCAGCTACCAAAGAAGATCAGGCCCTATCTGAGAGCAGCTGGGATGTTTTAGGTCAGTGAGGTTATATTCCAGCCTCTAACTCAAGATTCAAAGAGTAGGTTTTAAGAATTAATATAATTTATGTCCCTAAGTTGTAATGTCTCTAAAACAGGAATTGCATTGCCATGTGTCATCTGCAAAATATCCAAAATATTTTGGCAGGGGAGACAGAATATGACGATGCAATTGTAACTACAGCTGTGAAGCACAGAACTAGAGGGTTGCCTGCGAGAGAGCTGTGCCCTATGCTCCTCGGAGCCTCTCGCTGATGCAAGCTGCCAGATCTCACTGTTGCACCCTCACCAGCCAAGAAGCAGTTTCTGCTCTGGCTTGTCCAAACTTAGCCTCGTGCTGATGAGCAGCCGGTACTGGCTTGTTTGTCAGCTGCTGCCAAGCAGGTGGCACGGGCTGCATTTTCCTCACCTTTGCTCAGCTACAGTGGAGACTTGTGTTTCCTTCTTCTCTCCAACCAAAAATGCCTGTGAAGTCATACAGTTCCCCACTTATCCTCAAGATCTACACTGCTTTTTTATTTCAGCTGAAATTGTCCGTCAGGCTAAAAAGTTTCTGTGAGGCAGTATGAGAGAAAAATAAGGACAGACAGACGGACAGCAATGCCATGACCCTCATTTCCTTAGGAAACCAAGCTAAAAAAGAAAATGTAACCTCAGACCCTTTGCTGAGGGCTTTGAAAGCCAGGGTAAGAACATATATATCCCAGATCAGAAACGACATCTGTGGAGATTACTCTGTTCTTGTGGCTGTATTAAAGGAGTCAAGAAAATAAAACAGTTGAAAATAGCTCTTAAGTCCTTTTAAATGATTACTATTATTATAATTATTCATAACAATTTTAGTGTGTTCACTTTTCAAATTAAAAAAGGTGATATGGTACAGCTGAGACCAGAGAGGGACACCTGGGGGGCAGAACGCGATCTGCATGCAGTGCCCCCAGCCCCGCTCCCTGCTCATGGGGCAGACTGAGGAGTGGGCTGCTGTCATGTGCTGTGCCAGTAAAAACAACCAGGAAAGGAGGCTGGCACCAGCATCCCTTCCCTAGGTAAGGTCTGCAACAGAGAGGACTTTGCATTTTGCTGTGTAGCAGCAGGGGGGCACATCTGTGGAGCATGCTCATGAGAGGAAAGCCACACATCCTCTCTGGGGCCACACTCACCTATGCACTGTACTCACTTACAGGCAATTTGTAACCATTTAGGTGGGTGTTTGGCATCATTTGACTTTAAAGCTTTATTAAAGCCCTTCAGTCCACTCACCAGTGACCTTGAGAGGTTCTATCATGTGCTGGCAATTGTGTAGATGCTGCATTTCCATATGAGGCACTAAACCCTTCCGTATTGGAAAAGTCATTTGGTCTGTTAGATCTTGCATGGAAAAAAATACAAATATTTCATAAGGACAAGTGGGCAGATTATTCTCGGACTATTGATTCCTCATTTTGATCTGCTGAAAACCTACTTGCTGCTGAACAGACCTCCCTACTGGAGAGACTGAGCAAAACAGACATTACAGGGAGAGGCTCTGGGCATTTATTGATTACACATGAGAACACTAATCATGCAATAGCAAAGATTGAGCATGTTGTTGTGATGGCTATTTGCATAAAAAGGTAACATTTGACTGTTGGGAAGCTAGATCTTTTCAGAATATTAATGGCAGCTGTCTCTGATCTGGTCACATGCTTTGCCACAGCCAGCTGGGCAGCTAGTTCCTTGGGCTTCTCCTTTTCCAGCATCTAGACCACCAGGACAACACACATAATGTCTGCAACAAGTAAGTTAGCAAATATATTTGGTGCACTAATTGAAAATGAAACTCCAATCTCCAGCAAACCTACAGGATGTTGTTTTGTCTCTCAAGAATATTTGGAAAGAGCATCAATTTTGGATTTTTGAAACGCCTAATGATTTTCTATTTGACTCTTGCAATCCAACTGTCAGTTCATTTCAGTCAGTTCTTGTAGTCAAATTCTTGTAAACTTTCCTAACTCCTGACAAAATGCTAATGATGCCAACTTCAACTATTCAAAACTCAGAAATGAGGAGGCCCTTAAAATTATGAGCAAAACTATTACACGGCTTACTCTTTCACAACAGTATTTGTTTCTTTCCCGCTTTACCTTTCTGATTTTTTATGCAGTTCTTCAAAGATACAGACCAAAAAGTGAGGATAGAAACTTTCTACGCTGTTTTTTTAACAAATGACAAATTTTACACACATTTATATAACTCCAAGCTTTATGACTTTAAGAACACACACAAAATTATAACACTTGTCATCAGACCAGGTAATGCTTGGTAAGCTGCAAATGATTGCTACAAAACTTACCTTTATGAAATACTTTGCAGTTTCTCCGCCTTCCTGTCCTTGTTACTGTAAGCTGGTAGACTTAGTCATTGGAAACAAACATCCACAAGTGCATTCATTGAGCATTTTGCTTGCAGAATAATGTTTGTAGCCAGAAAATAAAGCATGTTACCGGAGAGGGTGTAGACCTTGGTCATAAGCCCTCAAAATCTGGGGACAGCAGTCACTGGGCTCTGGCCATGCCCTGAACTGGGCTCTGAAGAGCATGTAGGTGTTTGCCAGAGGCAGGGGAATGTCAGTCAGAGAAAGAAGCAAATGGAGGAATGTTGTTTACTACACATCGTGTGTGCTCAGTCTTGGAGAGAGACCATGGACAAGTGCAACCTTTGTGTGCAGCTTTTGAGGTACCTGCTGGTCCTCTGCTTTGGCAGTGGATGCCCAGGCATCTCCTCTGGCAACGTCACTGGGGGGACTGCAAGATTTCCATAGATGGCAGGTGGGTATATAGCTCTATAGGTACTTGGACGACTTATGGCCATATATACTTAATCTCTGTTGTGACACTTCTCCCTTGTTTTATCACCGTATGGCTGGTCATGCCAGCTGCCTTGTGAACATCAGAGTCCCACATTTAGAAAATAGATGCCCTCAGCTATCAGTCTTGTAGCTTAAACCCCACAGCAAAACATTCACAACTTTTTCTAGAAGCATCTAGAAGTAGAGGCTGAGACAAATAATAATTTAGCATTGTTCATGCTAGGGGCTGGAGCCAATGAAAGATTCAATCTGTGTTTCCAGACACACATGGGTGCCAGCGGCACTGGTTCAGTGAAGAAGACAAAATTGCTGGAGTTTCTGGTGCTGCTGTGCACTTGGGCATGTTGGAGACAACCAGTTCTGAACGAATGTATGAAGACACCACACTGTGCACACTATGTAGCTCCATAAATGCTCCATAATGGTTTTGTTTATTAAGTTAGAAATGAGAACGGCCCAGACTGAGCTCTTCTTTCTTAGATTAGACCCCTTCCAACTACAGAACTTTGCACCTAGTGCCTGCAAGTCTCAATTCCTTGCAGGTGGGATTCAACAAGGTATCTTAAACACCAGTACCTCCATAAGGTACCAGATGAGGTCCTGAAAGATATCAGTCCCATATATGCCTGTTTGGCTTGCTGAGGGACTGGAGGATTCACTCCACGTCTGATGAGAGGAATCAAATTGTCTGTTCAGTAGGATAATCTTTCTGTTGTAGGGATGAAAATCTCAGAGGACTTCACTCATGCTCAATGGTCTTGTAATTAAATGTTACACACTTGATGAGCATTGCATTGCAAGCCTCAAGGCTAATTTACATGTTACCACCAAAATGTCTTATTTCAGTTTGCTTATAAAAATACTGTGCAGGCATCATTGCATGTCATTGCAAATGGTTTGTTTCAATGATGCTTGGGTGAGTCTTAAAATTACTAAAAGCTGTACATAATTACCATTAAAGAGCCCTGTACAGAACCAATAATACTTCCCCTACAATAGCTATTTTATGACTAAGATGGCTTTCCTGATGTGACTGACAATGCTAGGATCACAAACAAGCAGCCTGCCAGCAAATAAAGAATAGCTTTTTCGGGAAACAAAGTAGTTTGATTCAATTATAGTATTATGTGCATAATTAAAGTGTATGTCACTTTTCCAAGAGTTGCCCATAATTCACAACAGTAAGGCAGGGTAGGAGGAAGGAGAGAATAATGAAAGTGGATAGGAGCGTGCTGTATGAATGGTGATAGGTATGATGCTGTTATAAGGTATTTACTGGCACATTTAAATGCTTTATGTAGTAAAAGTTGCTTTTAGTGATTTGGGGCCATGACTTATGTCAGTGTTTTCATAATGGATGAGTGATGAGAGAAAAAGCTTTTCTAGACTCCAGGATCCATTTAGCACATGCAGCTTTATCAGTTTCTTGTTCTGAAGAGGTCGTCCCGCAAGTAGCATTTCAACACAGTTATATCAGATGGACTGAACTGAGGTTTCTAATAACTCATGGTTTCTTTAATACTTATTTGACTGACTTCAAAGCAATGCTAAAGCTCTGCAACCATTTATTGGAATATATTAATAATAATAAATTAGAGTTTCATTCACTGAATTCAAACCCTTAGAAGAAAAAATAACCTTGTGCAGATGCAGAAAAAAGGCAGAGAAATATTAGGTGACTTACCCAGTCTGCAGCACATGAGTGGAAGAATTAGGAACAGAGCCTTTGGTCTCCAGCCTTTCTTCCAAATCATTACCTTTCCTGTGGTTTTGCCACAGTAAAATGATTTTGCATATGTCCTGTCTTGGAAATATGAAAAATATATGCAAAATGCAAAGCAGCCAGTTGGAACTGCCTTTTGGAATGTATCATCATTTATGAAAGGTACGTCTCGAAGCCTAAAGAGATCATGTGCAATTAATTGCATGCTGTCAGAGAGACTGCAGCACTTTACTGCCAATTTGTAAATAAAATAGTGGTCATGCAAAAGGGCTTAGGCCAGTGGGGTGGGTTTCCATGGATAAAGGAAAGGCAATGTGCAAAGACAATGCAACCCAGTTCCTACACTCTTTAAGAGTTGTGCTGACCTTGTAAGAAAATGGAGTAATGCAGAGTCATTGAATGCAGCTAGGCTTCTCCATTGGTAATATTTTGCATATTCCAAACAAAGAAATCCCTGCTTACTTGAAACGCTAAAAGAAGAAAAAAGTCATCAAGCCCAAAAAGAAAAAGTCCTTTTAGATTAAAATCTTGGTAAACACATAAGGCCTTTTATACCTTTAAGACGTGCTGAACAACGTTGGTGAAGTGTGGATCACTCCAAGTACAGGGGACTGCAAACAAAGCAAAATTCCCTTTATTTCCCGATTCCGACTGTCAAACGATCTTTGTTAAAAATATGCTCCTCCTGGTAGCTGGCCAATACCTGACTCAATTCCTTATCCGGTGCTGTCTAGTTCCCTTTGTATCACTGCTGTTTCCATCCTATATCTCCCTGTTCCCCTCCATTATGTTCAATAAATACAATATGTTTGGTGCCACTGCTGATCTGCTGAGCCAGTCAGTGGCCAGCCCAGTGACTCAGACTTGGTCTCAGCTTCAAAGGAAAAATGATGATGCCTGTCTTTCTAGGTCTGAACTCCTCTGGTGAGCAGTATCACAGATGTAATATGGATCTTCAGTAATTACTGAAACCACGGTTTGTCACAAGCTGCTTGGGGCACTGATGGACAATCGGCTTCTGGGTATAGTTAGGGGGAGGAATATGTAAGAAACTGATATTTGCGACAGGCTCATCTAGGATTTTTTTTTTTCCCCCAGGGGATAAAATGTACATGTGGAAGCAGTGCAAATGATAAGCTAGTACCTATATTCATCTATAGTGCTTTCCACCTCTCTGATATTTAATGTATATGCAAAAATTACTCCAGTGTAAATGAGAAGCTGGGCTAAGCAGTAGCCACATCTACACTAAGTAAAACTTGTATCTCCTGTGAAGTTCATGCACATCAGCAGTTTACTAAACAAGTATTTTTGGCCCTTAGGAAAGAGCAGAACTGCCTGCATATCCCAGCTACCCTCCACACCGGTGCCACTAGGGGATCCTTATGATGCTCAGCAAATAAAAAATTCCTTCTCCACAGCCCTGAGCCCTGTAGCAGACCCAGAGCACTTTCCTGTCCTCTGTGAGCCTGAAAAAAATAAAAATAAAAATAACATAAATAAATAAATAAAAAAATTAAAAAAAAAATAAAAAAAGGAAATCTAAGTTTGCTCTTTTTGTGAAGCACTTATGCTTTTTATTCTTTTTCTACCCTTATCTTGTAGTTCAAATACAGCTTCAGAAACTACATAAAACATCCAAATCCACAGATTGTGAAGTAAATTCAAGATAGAGAGAGGATGAAAGGCAAAATGGACTCAGAGCCTGACAGGCTTTGGATGAAGCTTTCCAAGGAGCCAGAACTGCAAAGGATGCTGTTGCAGTGAGGACTTGCCTGTGCATGTGAACCACAGGCCCGGCATGCTGCACAGTTGGAAATCCAGCATTCAGAGGTAGGAATGTACCGTGTGGTCCAAGCCAAATAATTAATGCCCCTTTGTTTCGTGACTTAATATTTAAAACTGTGTTGTTCCAATTACTGAAAACATTCAGTTTTCTATTAGAAATATCCCCCTCCCCCAAAGTAATGTATTTTAACTCCACTCAGGACTTTTTTCTAAGTTGCACTTGACTCTAGAATTAGGCTTCCTTCAAAAATCATCACTGGCTTTATGGCACAGACAGCTATGTCTCTCCAGCCTTTATTAACTCAGCCGCACAAAATCTCCATGTCCGCAGCTCGCCATTTGTTGTTCTGTTTGTTGCGCTGTTGAAGACTACCAGCATTTCACCAGCAAAGGCTCTCATGTCTGCAGCTATCCTATTTTCTCTCGTGTCACTCAAGCGAACTGCCTTGCAGCTTGCCTGCACTGAGGTCGGAGCGGAGCTGCAGGAGCCTGGGGACCCTGCTGGGGGCTGACATGCCAGGCACCCGCTCGGCCCGCAGGAGCTGCGGGTACAGATGCGAGCAGAGCTCCCCGGCACTGCCGGGAGCCAGGCTGGCTTTTGCCTGAACGAGTACTGGGGGATGGGGCACTCATTCAGAGCCACAGCCAACTCCTTAAAATACCGAATGTGTGCAGAAGATGGAAATTGGCAGTGTTACAAACTCAGAAGGCATGGGATGAACACCTGACATAGTGACGAGGGCCTCACCCCCCTTTCTGACCAGCTACCCCAAACACAGCGAGCCCCCTGAACAGTTTAACTGTAGCCCCAGCCCTTATTCATTAGAGTTATTTTGATGTGCTGTGATGAACGGGGGAGATCACTATATATAAAAAGAGTTCAATAAGCAGCATGGAACAGTGCTCATGTGTTCGTTTACAGGTTTACTCTGTCCTTACTAGATTGGTAGTTTCCAGCCTGGAGTCATGACAGTTTGGTTGGCACTCAAATTTTGCCCTCCTTTCCCCATGTCTGTCACTGAAGTCCATCAGTTTTCAACCAGGTATTTTTGAGTTTTACCTTTATTTTAGTTGCCAGTGTCTTTAAGAGCTTAACCCTGTTCCTCTTACCTCCACCTCTGCAGGTGCTTCTGGAAAGCCAGGAGGAGACTTCTACCTCCCGTGCTTGTTGCCAGCATGATTCTGTGGTTTCCCAGCTGTGGTGAGGAACTGAGGTATGCTGAGCAATACTGATGCTGTCCTGGCATAACAGCAGGTATGTAAATACATGGTACTTCAATGCCACAAAGATTTTGGAAGGTAGAACAAGGAATGAGGGAAGAGTCTATTATTTTCTTTAGAAACAGCCTTCATACTCTGCGTTCCCTTGACACCTGCCTCTCACAACACCCCTGTGTTGCAAAGTGCACTTCTTCCCCTGCAGAGGCTCTGCTTCTTTTGGAAAGGCTTCCAAAAGGATAACAGCAACATTGAAATCCCACTTGGCCTGCTTGTTTTTTTGCCAGCCCTACTCAATTGCCCTGCAAAAACAGAGAGGAATATTTTCCTTGCTTTCAAGAGTAAAGTCCTCAATTATCATGTCACAAAAGGAAACAGGCTGTTTGGTAGCTAAGTAAAAATGCTGACTTTAAACCTGAGATAAGGTTCTATCATTTACACTAATGAGCTCACTGGTGGGGAATTTGTAAAATTTTATGATAAAAAGTAGCTGCAGTCAGTATTTGATGGAATTTATTATTTCAGTCTTTTGCTGAAAATACACATAACTACTAATAATTTTCTCATCCAAACCCAGAGAGAAATAAAAATACAGTGAGAATTGTCCCAGTAGAAGTTCAAAGAATTTGTAAGTAATCCATTATTTTAGAGTTATTGCTTAACCACAGGTTGTTCTGAATTCTGCTGGGAAGCATGTAAATACTTTTAACTAGTTGAGTAATGAATTAGTTACTCAGAAGGAGGAGACCTTAATGAAATATTAATATTAGGATTTTAATTGCTGATAACTTGTGGTTAAAGTTAAGCCTCCAGACCTGAAAGTCATCATTGCCATGTCAGATTTTGGTTTCTGGTGGAAAGGCACTCTGGGATTGCCCTGTAATAGTTTCTGTGCCAGGCGTTGTATATTTCCAATGAGTGCAGTGAAAAAGGGGAAGTATCTAATAGCCTTTCTAGCATGTACTGTCAGAGCACTGAGAAACATTAAGGTAATCTTCCATTCGCTGTAGGTTACAAAGAGCTAGACTGTTCTGTTCAGAACCAGAATAGACGTGTCTGGCTGGAGAGAGCAACAGAGCAGCCCTGCTATGATAGTGGTATAAATGGATGAAAGCAAAGGGATGACAGAAAGCAGAGAGGAATAAAGATGTCTTCAGTTGAAGGACTGGAAAACTCCCATGGTTTGGCACCCGTGTGAGACAGGAATGAAATTCCAGCAAGTTTTCTCTCTTCCTCTGATGTTTTTCCAGATATTTTTCCAGCCTACCTGCTGAGCTGGAGGTGTTTAGGATCCACAGTGTCTCTGGTTCAAAGCCTGGAAAAGCTGGCCAGAGCTGCGGTACAGCGCATGGACTTGCTTGCGTGACCACTCGCCACTGTCTGCAGGCAAGAAATAGGTCCTTACAAAATATTCCATGTGCTGGTTGTACCTCTGCAGCCTTGTTTTCTAGCTATGGGTAGCTGGGCTTCTGCAGTGCTGTCTGAGCCGCCTCATCCTCCTAATGGTCATGGGCTTGTCTCATCACTGTGACAGCAATTTGGGAGGGGGCGCAGGGTTGCATTACAGGCACTAATCCCATAGTAGAAATAGCTGAACAGTAAACGATGAACACAGAGACTTAGGTGTTGAGAAAGTATGTAGTGCATAGGAGAAGGAAGAGCATTTGGAAGAGCTAAGTGGGATGGCTGGTTTGTGGGCAGTTACTGACGGTTTCTAACTCTGTGAGTCCTGCAAGGTACTGGCAATATGGGATAAACAAAGCAAAACAACAAAAAAGATTGGTGTGAGGGACGGAAATGGCTGAGAAGCTGGTCTTGCATGTAAGTGATCACAACTATTATCTTCTCTCAAGCAAAATGTTGCATTTTTCACAAAAATACTGTCAAATCTACAGCTCTTGTTGCACATCTCTGTCTTGATAAGGCTCATATCACTAAGAGATTTGAATTTTGTAGTACATTAAATATTGTGTCTGCTTGTTTCCTTCCTGTCTAGCATCCCTCCATCCTGTACCCATCACTTGGTGCCTAATACAGATGAAGCACTGATGTGTTGTTACTTTTCTGTAAGAAGAGCAGCCACTAGAGGGGAGGATGTACACGGAGAAGTCCCGCTCAGTACCTCTGGTGCAATCAGAGGCTTCCTGGGTAAGTAAAAAAAAAAAAAAAAAAAAACCACTTCAGAATTTTACCCATCATTTGTAGGCTGCTCTGGTTTATCCTTTCAGGTAAAATATATTGAATGAGATTATTTTTAGTAATGCAGTTTCACTGTTCATCTTGAAACACAGCCAAAGCTAAGGGCCAGGAAAAAAAATCATTGGCTAAATTACACAGAGAAGATTGGATTACCTGTTCAAACACAGCTCTTAATTCTGCATATAAATAGAATCCCCAAATACAAGAGAACTGTAGTAGAAAATAAAGCCAACCAACAGTCCCTAATAACCCCTAATTATTAGGAGTTTCAGTTAACATTTGGACAGCATTGGTCTTAATTCTTTTAAGTCTCAAAAGGCAGCATGACCGAGGTAGCCCCGTTCACAATTACAGCAAGCACACACGCTGTTCCAACCCACGCTGGCTTTAGCTGAGTGTTCTCTGGCTGCTTGGGTTGGGATTTTGCCCTGTTAAAATACAATTACCTATTTGAATAGAGACTAAGTTTCAATGTGAGTTAGTTATTTGTAACAATGCACATGTTTTGACAGAAGTGTATGACAAGGAAAACAGGTCAAGCTCCTGACTTTGGCATCATTGCTCACTTTGGAACTTTTTGTTACTGAAAGAAAACCTGCTAATATCCTATCCAAGCATTAGCTTTCATGCTGTCAGTAAATACAATAGAGATCTAGCTGTAAAGCAGACAGTCTCTCAAGGCAAGACCGAAACCCAACATTACGTTAAAATAAAGAAGACAGAAAAGCTTGACAGCACTGTGGACTTATGGACAATTATGGTTGTATAAACCAGAATGTTTCATAATTGTCTCAAGGATGGTGCTTTCAAATATCTTTGGCATTGAGGTAACATTTTTCCCACTTTTAACATTATCCTATGTAATGTATAAATGGGAGATTAGATGTCAAAGGCTGCAGGCAGCCAATAAAGAGCAGCAGACAACATTACCCATGTTATGTTAATAAACTGTGTTGTTCTTGGAAAACATACAAAACCCAATATCCATGCTGCTGAGTGATCCTTTAGGGTCGGCAGTTTCAGATTCATGTACTGCTGCACTCTCCACTTTGGTTAAGATCATCTAACAGTTTGTCTTTTAACCTTCTGTTTGCAGTTACCCGTATCCATCAAAATTTCTCCTTTCTTAGGCTGAGATTTGCCATGATGGTAACTGCAAAAGGTGTATTTTTATTTCAACATTTTATCACTGTCTCTGTGAACATTTCAAAGCATGTTACAATACAGGGAAAACACCAAGCTTAATTTGTTTGATATTCTCTGGCCAGAAGTAAGATCTGAAAGTAAAAAATCAGAACTATTCCTCTATAGGAAGGAGTGTATGATTAACCTTGGGAAGCAATCTGGTTTAATTTGATCAACTAAAATTAGAGAATGTTTGGATATGAACATTTGCAAATGTCTG